AAAACTTAAATGTCCAAGTGACATTTTTCGAGAAGTCGTGTTTTAGAACGTACCGGATATATCCGTCAGCAGCCGCACACATACGCGCTGCGATACGCCCACGGGGATGAAATGGTTGGCGAAAAGAGCCAACGCCGTTCGCTCGTTCACTCGCTTGCTCGCGCGCCTAACTTTTTTACATTTTATTAATGGGAAAACCAACAGACACACACGATCCAATTACACGTCCGTTCGCATAGAAACTTCACCTTCAAAACTAGACAACCATGCTCCGCCGTTATTTCCGACTTAGCGACGTGAGATGCGAAATATCGACCCGCGTAGTCGTCGCCGTCGTGGTCGACGTCGATCGAGTTGACGAACGTGTCGCGAGATTCGCAGTTATTTTCATAGGCTAAATGGAAGAAAGAGGTAAGCGCTAAGTAAAGAGTTACATTACGACGCGGCAGTGGGACGGCGCGAGCGCGTCGCTCGTTAGCGTAAGAAATTTAGCCGCCGCAATACGACCGGACTCGATTCCGCGTAAAGTAAGCCCCGGAATTGGGCTGGTGTAATTGATAGTCCGAACTTATCCTCGCCTCTCCTCCTTTCGGCTGGATCTTAATGGGCGAGGGTTACCGACGGGGCCTCCATCTCGCCTTAATTCGCTCCGCATGTGCAATTTCACACGATAAAGTCTCGCGCTTAGCGCGCCTCAGGATGACTCGCTCGGGATCTACTTTCGGCAGAAGCGATTGTCCGTAAAACGCGCCGACAGCCCTAATTTCCTTCGTGGATCGCGAGGAATTTCTTCTACGTGATCGTAGCACTCGAGACGGATGTCGAAAATTTGTAGGACACGTGTGTATGTGGGTGTGTTCGTGGGTGCTGCTCGTCTTAAATGGGATTTCGGTCAAACGCACTCGTCCATGTTTGCACGACGTTTCACTTTTCGCTTAATAACTAAAGTGAAAAGCGTCTCGCTTTTCGTGTTTAACGTCAAATAATCGGTCTCAAGTCTTAGCGTACGTTGCACAATGCGATTTGTTCGCGCGACTAATTCGCGAATGGCACTCGATGTCGACCAGAGAGAGAATCGGCCACGTTTGAGGCGTGCGTCAACGATACGGAGCGATGAATCTGCGGTAGGATAAGATTATGCGTCGCTGTGATGCAACGACTTGAAGGAAAAGAGACTCAAAAGTTCGGAGTTACGTTGTTTTCGCAGTAAACAGCTCGCGCGTATTTATACGCACGCCTTTTCAACCCGGTTTTATCAGGATTGAACTCGAAAATGATTAGGCCGCGGGCTACTTAAGGATGCTAAAACCGTGTTCCTTAGTTCTTTATTATCCGACACGTATCTCAGTTCTTTGCGAGGGTGATGCATGCTTAGGGATCGGCATGAATCGAACGAGCCCGTGAAAAGGGTACAGTCGAAATGAAAACCTAGGAACGCGCTCACCTGGGGCTGAACTCGCCGGTTTCCTTTCGATTCATACCAGTCTACTTGTTATTGCATTTTCGATACATTTGTCAGCGAAATTTTATGGAATAATCTGCTATATATCGTGCAATATTCAAAAACACACTCTGCTTGAGAGCATGCAATATAATTGACGAGATAATATATATTGCGAATTCTTTTCGCTCTCTCTCTCTTTGAATTTCTATTTAGATGAATATTACACATTTAATTTAATAATCGACGGTTTTATAATTATAATCATGAAAAAGTGGGCGATAAGAAGGCCGAAACATTACATTCTGAGAGACATTCATAACATAGATAACACGGTGGCGCAAAAAATTATCGTATTTCCCAGGCGAAGTCGACGACGTAATTATGGATTCGGCGTACTTAATCATTGACACAAAGACATCGTCGCAGACTTTTCGGTGCATTTTTTATCAGATCTAACGAAAAGGTTTTCCTTTCTCCGTCTCCCTTTTATTATGCAGACTGGCGGCTTTTGAATTCGAGTGTAACGGAGAAACTATGAAGTTTGCATCAACAAACGAAGTAGACAATAAATCGACCGATGGGACCTCTCGTGTTACGAGTGTATTATTACATTCTTCGAATGCGTGGACTTAATCATATGCGTGTCAAAGTGCCCCATCATCTCATTGAGTCACTCTAGGGCCTGGGATTTCCGTAATGCCGCTGTCACACCGATAAAACGGGCCTCGTTCTTTCTCCGTATTATCGAAATTGGAGAATCGTTAGGATTTATCTTGACTTTGACCACGAGCGCATTCGTTTTCGAGCTACGATACCGAAGAGGTCGCGCGTTTTGCGTCGCGTCGCACAAAGGAAAGTCCTGAAAGAGAATCACGAAGGAACGCTTCTTCCACCGTGGCGCCCACGTGTGACTCACGCGATACCGAGGCCCAACGGTGGTATAAGCGGTTGGAATTGTTCGCGCGGTTACTCGATCGGGTTAGTCCTTAAGGGATCCATCCATCTTCTATTTTTAGACACCGGGGACCCGCGTGTTCGGCCCGTCGCGCGTACACGGACGGTGCGTTACGGCATTCTGTTTTTAGCTCATGCGCGGGCAAACAACATTGAGCAATGTGGCCGGTGATATCCGGCCGGACAATCGAAGGTTTCAGGTGCATAATTACGCTGTTGACGGTACCCTTAAGTTAGCCGGGATCGCCTTAACTGCCCACACAGGACGACGCGAATATGCGCGCGAGCGCACGTTGTTTGGCCACCACGTCGTTTCTTGTTTCACCGGGTTGCAATCGCCGGGTTGCCTGCCCTTTCTGCACCCGACTTCTTTTTATGGGGACAACTCTGGCGTGGGGTTTACGTCAACAACAAACCTCGGACAACGGCCGAATTGAAGGACAGGATACCTATGGTGGCCGCGCTCGGCTCGAGTTATTCGGCCTAACAACATCGCGAATCGACGTATAATAAGATCGGCAAGAACGATGCAAGAATGTGTTGTGGCAGGACGAGGGGGAGAAAGAGAGGGCGTATTTAATTGACGTTACTTTCGCGCTCGCAACGGGCAAACAGGAACTATTCTCGCGCGGAGCGGGAGTAAAGTGTAAAACGCGTCGAAAGTAATCGCGGACGGGTTCCACGGTGATCCGCAATTTGCGTATCTCTCCTCGTAGGGATCGTATTCGCTTCTAAAGTGCAGAAAATTGTTATGGAACGAGAAACACTTCGGATTTTCTCTTTATGTTCCAGGATTCCGAGATGTCTCGAAATTTCGCGGAGATCTCCGAGACTCGGATGAGCGTTTATCGCCATCTCAGGTATCAGTAAATGTGAGTAATTTTTAACGTTAACGGTAAAAATAGTTGGCCTGCGCGATGGCTGTCGTTAATAATGAAGTTGGGCGAAAAATCTTGCACTTTGAAATCTATTTTCACCGTGCTCTTCCCCGGTGACATTTTTGCGGTTGATTTCAAAGAGAGCGAACGCGAGAAGATATTTTTTCCCGCGGGACCGAGACAGCCGCGTCTGAAAGCACGAAAGACGGGTAGGTAGGTTTTTTTCGCCCGATATTTCGATTACGAGGAATGCGCGCGATGCAACAATGTGCGCCCAAACGAAGTCAGGAATGTTCAGCTGCGGCGGAGGACCGTCTTTCGACAGGGCGCCGAGCACATTCGATAGGTACGCGGACCGAAAACAACAGCCGAGTTATTTCGATCGGTGGTTGGGAATCTTCAGATTCTACAAGTCGCGGCGCGATACATGAAAAAGGGTGCCGAAAGGGTTGCCGCAAAATTCAGTCGGAAGGATCGTACGATCGGTCGCAGCGGTGCCAGTTGAGCGCTACAAAGAGAAGAAAGTTGGACAAAAAGAGAGAGAGATAGAGAGAGAGAGAGAGAGAGAGAGAGAAAGAAAAGATATACTATTAGAAATTAGAGAAAAATGCTCGAATATAATATTTCTGTCATATAAATTGTATAAATAATTCCCGATTTATGGCGATCAATTCGCTCACCGAGAACCGTCGTACCGATTTTCCTGAAAAAAAGCGTGATATTCTCGAAGAATTGACATTTGTTCTTTTTCCCTGAACTGGCTGCACTAACGTTCTTTCTTCTTCCTTCCATCAAGTTTTAACTATATATCTATCTCTTTTTAAGTTCTACATGTGTACAGTGATGGGCAGAAAGGTTGCGGCACTTTTTTCTCTGATAAACTTCGCAACGTATCTCGTATCCGAGGAGGAGAATGTATCTTCTGAGAATAGCTAAAAGACAAATTCTCCCACTGGACACTGGATTCCGAAACTTAAGAAGAAAAAAAAATGTCGCAACCTTTTCGTCCACCGTTGTACATTAATTCGGGGAAAAAGAACAGCCTTTCGATTATTAAAACAATTGCATCAAAGAATCGATCCTTTCGCATGAAGAAAAAAAAAGCAGTCGATTCTCCGAGAACCGAATCAGAATCGTGGACCACTATTCTGCGCGCGGTGTGGTGCCTAACCCTGGGGGCACAGCATATATACCCCTTTCCCCGCCCACCCGTTAGATCCGGCGAGCACGCTGCACTCTCCGTCTCCCTCCTTCCGTCGCATTCCCTCGCCTTCCACCTCCACCGTCCTCCTCCTCCTCTTTCTCCTCAGTCTCCTCGTCGTACTTGGTCTCTTCGTCGCCCTCCTTCGCCGCTTCTCGTTCCCGCTCGCTCGCCTCCCTCACGCTCCCTCCGCCGTTGCACAAAGTTGCAATTTATCAGCGTCTCTCTCGCACCCGGCGTCGATGGCCCTCTCTTTTTCCCCCCCACTTTTCGCTCGTTCGCTCCCCCCACGCAGTCTTCTTTTGCCCTCACCACGTCGCTGAGCCACCCACCAGCTACGCCACTCCGAACCCTCCGATGCACTCCGTGCGTCCTCCTCTCGCGCTCGAGAGTGCACCCGGTGCTCTCTCTCTCTCCCCCTCTTTATCCCTCTCTCTCCTTCTTTCTCTCTCTTACTCTCTCCCAACTGCGTGCTCCCTATCCGTATCTCCCTCGCACTCTTTGTGTCACGCCGCCGGCGGTCGGTCGCGCTCGTTGCGCTTCGGCGCGACAGCAGGCGCCGCGAATTCGCCTCTCGCGGCTTCGGCTCCGCTCGGTCGGTCGGTCTGTTCCGAGGGCCGGCCGGAGAAATCCGTCAGTATGTGCCGCGCTGCCTTGCCGGCGAGTCTCACGTAGTGATTAGGTATATTCTTCCTCTCGACTGTTCGCAAATTCGAAAGTCCGCCACTCGCAAGTCACGAAGCGAGCGATTCTGCCGTGCGTACTGTGACAATTCGTATTCTCTTTTTCTCTCTCTCTCACTCTCTTTCTTTCGTTCTCGCTTCCCCTTTCTCTCTCCCTCGCCTTCGCGTCGGACGAAGAAAACCAAGAGGGGGGAGGTGGGGACGATAAATTGTGCCGAAGGACCGCGGTGTCCGGGAAGGCTTCGATCAGGCGAATCGATCGAAGGATCGAGCGATAGACGCGAGCGACAGCTCGCCGGCGACGAGGATACCGTCTTATCGATGAGAGATACCAGGGGGTACCGTCTCCCGAGGGCAGCCAGGGCAGCAGAGGTCACCGCGGCGATCGTCGCTCGCGCGGCATCGGTCGCCGACACCGAAAATCGCGCAGCCACCGTCGTCGACGAGGAGGACAGTTCGCCGCGCAAATTTCGCCGCGACGTCACGACGAGCGCGTAGATCCATCCGCGCAGCGGGCCAAGTGCCTATCAAAACATGGCCACGTGACCCCGACGGCACGGCTTGTAAACACTGAGTTTGACCACGTGGTCTGCTCCCTCTCTCCGCTGTCGAGCGCGTTTGTCCATCTCTCTCTCTCTCTCTCTCTCTGTGTGGTGCTCCCATCTCTCTCCGTTTCGCTTCGCCGCCTCGCGCTCCGACCTCGTCTCTCTGTTCCCCTTCCTTGTCTCTCTCTTTCTCGTTCCCATCTATCTGATCCTCCGCCCCCTCACCCCCGTCGTATTGGCCGCCTCATTCGCCTTCTCCGGCCGTCTCGCTCTCGCCCTCGCGCTCTTTCGGCACGCAGAACGGCGCCGGGCAGAATCCTCAGTTGGTTCGCCGCCGCCGACAACCGCACGCGAGCGCGCACGGATTCGGACGATCCTCCGGCGACTTCAAGCTGATCTCTCGCGAGCGCCGATAAGCGCGTCGCATCCGCGTCGTGCCGCGTCGTCGTCGAGTGTAGATTGACCGCTCGATCGATCGGTCGATCGGTGGGTGATGTGTTGAAGAACCGCAGTGTCGGCAAAGAACGACTGAGAAGAAGATAATATATTTATAGGAGAGAAGGAGGGAGAGAGAAAGCAGCGACGCTGCGTTACACGCGAGTTACGCGTGCGACCGTTCGGGAACCGGTGCGAGAACGAGCGCTGCCGCGAGCCTTCGCTCGAAGCGAGGACGTACGAAGGCCGTCGCTGTACACACGCGTTTACACGCACCCGCGCGCGCATACACACACACACACACACACGCGTCTGGTGATAGTGCGACGAAAACGCGGCTCGGGTCGTTCCTCTCTCGCGCGAGCAGGTTCTCGCTGATCGCGCTCCGACCACTGCGCGGAGTCCCCCCGCGTGTCTCGGTTCGATCGCGAACCTCACGTTCGCGGAGCGACGCGTGGACATGATGGATTCGGTGCCGGTCTCGGGGTCGCTGATCCCGTCGCTGCAACAGCAACAGCAGCAGCAGCAGCAGAAGAAGGGAGTCTCCTTCGAGTTCTCCAACTCGCCGGACCTGGAGACCGGCTTCGAGCCGCAGACTCGCGCCAGATCCAACACATGGCCGTTACCGAGACCCGAAGAGTACGTGGAGGGGAACGCACCGGCCGCCAAGGAGGGTGCTGAAGGCGGCACACCGCCCCATCAGACTCAACTGGCTCAGGGTGGTCTTCTGCCGGTGAAGAAGAACTCGTCCAGGAGGAACGCCTGGGGTAACCTGAGCTACGCCGACCTCATCACCCAGGCGATCACCAGCGCGCCCGACCAGCGGCTGACGCTGTCGCAGATCTACGATTGGATGGTGACGAACGTGCCCTACTTCAAGGACAAGGGTGACAACAACAGCAGCGCCGGTTGGAAGGTAAGAGAGATCGACGAAGCGGGATCGAAGACGAGCGCGCGCGCCTCTCTCTGGCGTTCGCATTTAGGAGCTGCCGGAATTCGCCGGCGACTCGTCTCGCTCGGCTTGCCAAAGTCTAATTTAACTCTTTCGGCCCGTCGCGCGCCATTCGGCTGTGCGCGATACGTTATTTCACTCGACGTTGTCCCTCGCGCCTCCTCCGCGTTGCCGATTTCCCGCTATCTTTTGGCGAGTCTTTTCGAGAAGGCGACGGAGCCGCGGAAGAGCGAGTCTCCCGCCGAGACGCGGAATCCTCGGAACAGAGGCGCCAGCGTGGAGAACGATCCCGGGCGGTCGGCAGACCGAACCTTCGCCACGCGCCGAATCCGGGAAAAAATTCCGTTAGGCCTCGAGATGCGTAAACGTACATCTCGAAGATAAGAGTGAAATCTGAGAGATAGGATGGAATTCATCCTGCTTTTAATTTCGTTTTAATGAGTTTTTTTCTTTCCCGCGCGGTATCTCCTCTCCGTTCTCAGTTACATCTCGCCGAATATCGAGATGTGCCCGCGCGTTCACCACCTTCCCGATTGCGTAACGCGATTTGATTCGAGACGAGAGAGCGTAGAGGTCGCGTGAAACGATGGTCGCCAAGGTTTGCGGGGGGAGGGGGAGTTTCGCTAAAACGCAAAAATCGCGCGATTTTATCGCACCGGGACGGCCCGAGGGGGGAATCGAGTAACTGCGTCTCGAGCTTAGACGCGCGGGCATGAATGCGAGCCGCCCGGCAGTCGCTCGGAGTCACGTTCGTAGTAGTATGAAGACTTCCTTTTCATATGGAAACAATTGTGACACGCGACAGTGCGAAGGTTAGAAGCGGGAACTCATCCGGCAGGAATTCGCGCGCACGTAACGATATTTTTGATGATTCACGTCGCGCGATTATATTGCAGCCGCACGATTCAACGGCGGGTGAGTCCGTCAGGCGGACCTCCGCTCCGCGGTTCGGACATTCGAGGCTGAAGCGAATTCTCTCGAATTCATTTATCAGGTGAACGAAAAGAAGCGAATAAGAGCTAAACAACTCCTTCCCTTTTGTTTCGTTCATTTAGTTCACAGAGTCTTCAATTCTTATCGTTTACACAGACCGAAGATTCAAGTACGCCTCACAANCCCCCCCCCCCCTTTTTTTTTACTATATCCGCTGTAAGTTTCGTCGCGATTCGTGCGTATTGTTAAAATCTTGGATTAAGTTACCGGTTAAGTATACCGTGTTTAAGACTTCTTGCTGTATTGCATTTCTAAAGTATTAATTTCTGATATTACTCTACCGCACTTAAGTTTCTATATCAACCATTAACCATCCATCTCTCTATCATTTTAGACACGCTTTGTTGTACCACGGACGAACTTTTTTTATAGTCGATTATAAAAAAGAAAGATTTAACTGTTATTTATTTCTTTCTGTTGATTTAGTTTACACAGAACCTTAAATTCTTATTATATATATTTATCAGGGTCCATAGGCACAATGAAAGGAATAAGAAACAAGGAATTAAATATAGGGAACTAGGAATAGGATATTAGAAATGAACTATATTAAAGGAATAGAAAATAAAATACATGAGAACGTTTTAAAACTACTACTTTTACCATATCTTATAATGAGTTCCTACTGTCATTATCAACAATTTTATTTTCTTGACATTACTCCACCGATTGATTAATTACTGATTGATTCAGACTGGCCTTCATTCGTTAATTGATGGCCATTAGACATTTTGAAAGTCAACTATCATTTAACCTGTAAGCTTTATAAGCAAGCACACAAGTTGTAAGGAATAGAATTTTGAATGTTCCCAATTCTAGTTCTTTATTCTATTGTCGTGAATTGAAACATGATTGTTCACATGTCGAAATTTAACTTCTTGTTACTAATTCTCTATATTTTCTTCCCCATTCCTTTCCATTGTGCCTGAGCCCTTAAGGAAAATTTTACATATCTGTTCGCACACGCTTTGCGAGAGTCATTTTATTTTGTGATTAATTCTTGATTTATATTAAGTCTACATTTAACAATCATAAAGTCAATCAACAATCACATAAGTCTGCATTTTACAATCTTTTGTTTTATCACTATTGCAAGCCGAATAGTTTTCCTCCGGTGGTTCCACTCCTTCTGAAAACTTGAAGTTTAGGCAACGGGAACTGATCCCGCAGCATCGGTGTTTCGCGATCGACTACAAATTGATTTCGTTCTTTTCTCGGCTCTCCAACTTGAACTTGACGGAAGTTAGTGTTGACTTAACTGCTAACGAGAAGCGATGTGTTGTTTCTCGAATGACGCGGACTCTTCAGATTGCTCGCTCTTCCCCTGATTGTCCAGATATTTTTCATGCGTTCTCATTTCACATTTCTTTTAATTAATAGAAACTGCCGCGATATCTCTCTCTCCCTCTCTCTCTCGAGCAGTTTGAAACCATGCAGCTTATCGTTGATTTTGAAGCTTATCGAGCTTATCGCTCTGATAAAGAGATGATAAAATATATCGAGCGTTCTTCTTACTTCTTTTTTCTTCGCGAGTGAGCTTATTTACATATTTCGCGTGCGCACGCTGTAATCTGGGAAATTACGGACATGCATTTTCATCGCATAATCAGTCGAGATAAGCGTCGTCGTAATCGTCGCGGGGAAAATAATGAAAGGCGCCGAAAGATGCGATCGATCGTGGGCGGAATTAGTACGGAAATTCGAGCGGAACTGTCGGTCCCCGTGTGAATCGCTAATCATTAATTACGAATAAAACAACTTGTAAAACACCGCAATTGATCTCTTAATGAAGTTAAACAAATATAACGCAAATACAGGCCGTTACGAAACGAAACATTAGAACTGCAAAAGCGTGTTTACGCCGAACTATTTAAGCGCGCGGCAGGCATAATTAAAACGTTAATAATGCATTATAGTGTTTATAATTATAAAGCTCTCCCTCTCTCGTTCGGGCGTGCCAAGAGAGAGAAAGATGGGCGGGGGGAGGGGGGGGGGATGAGAGAGAATTCGACGAATTGCGCGTTTACGCGGATATCTCGTTCGCGCGTTTCGTTACAGCGCGATAGCCTGCTAATTGACCGCCGAATTCGAAGTAACTCGATCTCGGAAACTCGCAGCTGGCGCGCGTGTAACCGGTGCGCGAATATTGCTCCGCGTCGTTACAGGTCTCCTGTACTTTGTCACGCGGCGACGCACACCTCTGTAAATGTCGCGTATATACGGGAGGAAAATTCATTTTTGCGAGCGGCGGCGGCGGGAGAAGCGGTCCCTCCCGCGAGCTCTGTTGGTTTTGGCACTTACGCCGTTTCACAAGAGCGCTCGTCGCGATTCAATGGCTGTGTGCCATAGGTGTGTGCACCTTGGAGCCTCTAACGTTTACACGACCGACTACTTCTATCGGGCTAATATTTTTTTCATTCAAAACGCGCGTGAAGAAGTCGCGATATTTAACCGTCTCTTCCCACTTCTTCTCAAAGATCACTGCGCCAGTGCGCGTGCAAAGTCGCGTTCGCATGCTCATGCGATGATTAATATTTTTACACGCCGTCAAACACGCGTGCTGCGCGCGCCTCGCCCACTTTTTATCGCGCTCGACGACGCTGCGCCGGCAAAAAGAAATTTATTACTACACACGGAAAAATATTTCCTCTGCCTCCGCGCGAAACTCGTTTAGCACTCGGGTTATTATTGAGGATCCTTCCGCGCGCGTACGTGAACTTTGTCGCGACGCGCGTTTCACACGAGGCGGGAAACCTCCTTCCTCTCTCCATCCGCTCCGAACTTCCGTGATGTCCGCGTGTTGTCTAAATTTCTTCGAGTGAAATTCCACTCGAAAAGTAGACTGAAATCCGAGTTACTCAAATTCGAGTGACTTTCAGGCTCACAGAGAGCGAGTTATCCACTCCGAGTCGTCGAGTGGAAATTCCCACTCGGAATTGGGAAGTACATCCGATGCGCGCTTCATCGTCGCAGGAATCAATTCACTCAAATCGATCGAAACATTCGCTCGTATGATTAATAATCCACTCAGAGTCCGAGTTACAACCCCGAGTGTCGGCCGTATTTTCATTTCGTCGCTTCGATTGAATTTTCAATGACATTTCCATCGAGAAGATCGCGAGAATACCCACGTCCGGCCTCCGAAAGATCCCTTCGACGTTCATCCTCGTCGGAGCCTCGAGCGCGCATAAACGCGTGAGAATTCGCGAGTTAGGCGTCCGCGGCACTTAGAGCCGCTCAATTATCGCGCGCGAGGCCGACGCGTCAAACTCGTGGGCAGGAATCCGCGCTAAAAATCCTCGCCGACGACCGCGGCGACGGCGCAGCGGCGGCAGCTGCGAACTTGCGGATGCAAGTCGCGCGCGCGGAGGACGGCGTGCAGTCACGTGGTGTATGCAGTCTGAGAGAGAGAGAGAGAGAGAGATATATCTGTATCTGCCCCGTGTGTGTGCGTGTGTGCGTTTACCGCGCGCGCGGGAATGCGTGCTGCCGACGACGTAAATGCAGAGTCGGGAGAACGCCGCGCGGGTTTAAGGTCCGTACGCACCGTGCATGCACGCACGCCACGCACGCACGCCACGCACGCATGGACGCACGCACGCACGCAATGCCGCACAACCGCTGCCTCCTCCTTCTCCTCCGTCGTCGCCATTGCTGCTTCGTCCTCGTCGTTATCCTCGTTGTCGTCGTCGTCCTCGTCGTCGTCGTCGACGTCACATCGCGGGTCGAAGTACACGCATAAATCGATGCCGCCGCACACAATCGTCGCTCGTTTCGTTCAGCCGAACGACGCGCATTATTTATGCACCGGTTGTGCACGCGAAAGCGCCCGACGAAAGTTCAGGGATACGTTCCGAGAACTCGTGGAAGGAAGAGAGGATCCTGCATGCCCGCTCGCGAGCGGCCATGTGCGTTTAACGGTTTACTTCATTCGGCACCGGATGATCTCCTGCGCGATTATGACGTCGCGG